GCAGAGTTCACAGATTTATATGCATCAATTAAAGTTTAGGGCCTTACCTTATGGCTTTGCCTTTTTTTCCCACCGTCTGAATAGGAAAACATCAAACTCAATCCAGTTCATCTAATAATGTTATAGATAATGAGATAAAGACGCACTCCCCTTGGGCCACGCTTATCCACGTTAGAAGCAAGGCGGAGAGCAGACATGATTATCAGATAGATTCTTCTATCTAATTTAAATAGATATTAATTTATTATCTAGCACTTCAGAGTTTATTGATTTCTTTTTACATGACGTTTTTAGAATTATTAAGAACTTGGGTTCTAATCTCAAGTTTCTTTTCTTTTCTTTTTTTGAAAAAATTTTTCATTGTTAAAAAAAAAATAGATATTAATTTATTAATTATATTTTTTAAATTAAAAAAAATAATATAAAGATAATTTTGTTTATATAAATTTTATAGATTATTAAATAAATATATATTTAAATAAATAAATATATTTAATATTATAAATTTTAAATATTAAATAAAAAATATTAATTATTTAAGTAATACATAAAATTATATATAAAGCAGTAAAAAAATTGTTAAAAAAATTATTTTAAAATTATTTTCCTAATATTATTGCAAATTGATTTACAGGAGAATTGTCCCACGCGCAAAACTCTTTTCCTTAATTGGCATGCAAAACGCTTTTCTTCTCCATTGTCTTTCTTTGGCCTCCTTCTGTAGCGTCTTATTTCTGCACAAATGATTCAATTTCTCTCCCTCCTCTTCTTTCTTACACAGTTTCTCCACCCCTCCCATGGAGACGTCGGCACCGCCAGTCACTATAGCCCTCCATACTTCCGTAAGTACCCTAAAATGAATTTCAATTTTTTACCACTGCAATTCCAATTTGAAAACCCTCACTGTGCGCTTTTGTGATGCCAGCAACGGAGTGCTACGGAAATGATGCATCGCAGTTTCCTTCCAGCAACTTTTTTGGAGCGGCTGGAGATGGGATATGGGACAATGGAGCTGCGTGCGGAAGACAGTATTTGGTGAGGTGTATCAGCGCATCAGAGCCTCGTACTTGCATCCCTGACCGCACAATTCAGATCAAGATCGTGGATTATGCTCCTTCTGTTCTGTCTCAACCATCTGCTTCAGGAACCAGCGTCATCTTGTCTAGGACAGCGTACGAGGCGGTCGCAAATTCATCGGTCAACGCAATCAACATAGAATTCCAACAGTAATTAATATCTTCTTCTTTTTTGATGGTTGTATTTTCTTCCTTAATTTCTTTGTTAAATATTTCAAATTCGTTTTGCAGGGTGTAATACAGACTTGGAATGAAGCAGCAACGGCTGCGGCAGCTGCAACGGCACCGGCGGTGGAATATATATAGCACGTTGAAAAGGACAACAGGAATCGTTTTGTTTTATTTCTTTTTGAATAAGTTTTGAAGAAACGGACTCGAAGTAACATGAATGTTTCAAATAATATATTATGTCATGTTTCTAGAATCTCTATGGTCCGCGGTGGGTATTTGTATATTTCATTTGTTGTGAGAATTTTCTAAGAAAACTAGAAGTAGGGCTGCGCTTTACACTGGTTATAATAAATATATTTTTTTTTATTTTGAATTATAAGATAAAAAATAATTATTTTTTATTTTTATTTTATTTTATTTATATATTATGTGTTTTAATTTTAAATTTTCTTATTTTTATTAAAAAAATTATTAGAGTTATTTGATAATTATAAATATATTTTAAAGTACTTTTCTTGATAATTAATAATTTTAAATGCACCATTTTATAAAAAAAGACCGAATGGTAGCTAAGAAGATTTAAGTATAAAGATTTAATTAATTTAATTTTTAAAAATAAAGACAAATTTTTATAAATTTTTTTCTATATAAAAAAATTGTAAATACTCTATATCAATCATCTCTATTTATTCTTTATCTCTATATTAATAAATTATTTAATATTTTTTTCTCTCTTTTATCATCTTCTTAATTACTTCTTATCTTTATATATTTAAATATTATATTTTTTAATATTTTACATTAAAATCATGTCTCTCTCTATATCTTTTTTTGTAAAGAACTTTTAATTTTTTAATTTGTATTAGTATTAAATACTTATATTATTATTATTATGTATTTTAATTAAAACTTAACTAACAGCGACAAAATATTTATATCACATTTAATGAATGATTTGTTGATTCGAATAGAAAAAATTTAATTGCTTTTAAATAAAATCTTGTGTTTAACTCATGTGAAGAAAGAAATAAATACTTAAAGAAATTTTTTTTGTTAGATCTAATATTACTTAATTTTAAATTAATTAAAATTTAATATAATTTTTAAATACTTGAGATTAATAGATTAATAAAAAAGATATTTATAGCACATTGAAAAAGACAACAGGAGTCATTTTTTTAATAGGAAGACCAGGAGTCGTTTTTAAACAATATGTTATGTGAAGTTCCTAGAACCTTCGCGGCCCGCGGTATTTCTATTTTAATTTGTAGTGTTGTGAGACTTTTCAAAATAAAAGCAGACATCAAGCCACGCTCCGCGCTGTTTACCTAACTTTTTCTTTTAAAAAGAGATTTTTTGATAATTACAAATTTTTATAATAATTATTATTATTTATAAATATATTTTAGAATATTTTTTATAATTGTTAATTTTAAATGTACTAATTAATTAAAAATGTTTGAATGATAAGTATGAAAAAATATTTAAATACAAAAATTTAATCACTTTTTTATATTAAGAGTGTATTTCTCTATATCTTTTTACGAAGTACCTTCAATCTTCTATTTGTTTCATCTTTATATACTTATGTTATTATTGTACATTTTAATTCAAACTTTATTTAACGCATTTATTTCTTCCCATTCCTTTTTTTTAAATTGATTTTTTATATTATTTTCAAAGAAGTGAATCTCGTACCGTATCGGTCAGTATGGTTGGTGCGTATCGGTTTTTTATGTTGACCAAAATAGTATAATATGAAAATTCGTTTTGGTCAAAATTTGATTGATTCGATCAAAATTTGGTATACCAACCGAAATTTCGATATGCTGATCAGTTCATCAGAATTTAGGCTAGTACACACTGGCAAATTAAAAAAAAAAAAAAAAGATTCCCTAGCCCAAAACAACATTGTTTTGGGCTAAGGGCTTCTTGATACCTTGCAACTACAATTTCAGATACTGGTACACAAAAGTTGTCCATACAACTCAATTCAAATTTAAAAAAGGTAAATTTTATTTTTGGTCCTCAACTTTAATGTTATATATAATTTTTATCCTTTAACTTTTTATATACTCTTTTAATCCATTTTTCATTTTTTTTTAATCTTTCTATCAATTATTTTGTTAAAATTGTCTAAATATACACATTTTTAGTTCCTTAATTTAAAGTGGATGGATGAAAAATATACATATATTAGAAGTTGAGAGACTAAAAATGAT